GCATTAAATAATATGGCAACGGTTAAAACCCGTTGTATAAACAATATAGTAACGGTTTGAAACCGTTCCAATTGAAAAAAATAATCGTTCCAACAGAGAAGTGGAAAACCGTTGCGATAGACAGATCTATTGTAACGGTGACGTAAACCGTTACAAGAACCGTTCCCGTAGACCTATTGGCACGCCGGCTGATGTGACGGTCTGTAAACCGTTCCAAAATCCCTACGGCAACGGTTTGACAGTCTATGGGGACGGTTTTTTAACCGTTACCGTAGACCAATTTTTCAGTAGTGTATGACCATCCCCCTGTGACAATACCATCTCAATCCTCCGGGCCACATTGGCCGCCTCCTGAAAGGATATCTCGCTCCCAGCCTCTCTAGCCATCTGGAGACGAATAGGCTGAATGAGTCCATCAATAAACCGTCTCACTCTCTCTCTCTCTCAGTGGGAAGTATAAAAATAGCATGGCGGGCCAACTCAATAAACCTGGTCTCATACTGGGTGACTGTCATGGATCCCTGATGGAGACGCTCGAACTGCCTCCGATAGGCCTCTCGCTGAGTAATAGGGAGAAACTTCTCAAGAAATAGCTGTGTGAACTGCTCCCAGGTCAAGGCTGGAGATTCTACTGGTCTAGCTAAACAATAATCCCTCCACCAAGTCTTGGCGGATCCAGACAACCGGAAAGTAGCGAAATCAACCCCATTGGACTCAACAATACCCATGTTCCGAAGAACCTCGTGGAAACTATCCAGATAATCCTGGGGATCCTCAGTAGATGCACCGTTAAATGTAGAAGTGAAGAGCTTGGTAAACCTGTCCAATCTCCACAAAGCATCGGCAGACATAGTTGCTCCATCACCGGCCTGGGCTACCACACCCGGCTGAGTCGCTCCAACTGGCTGAACTGCTGGAGTCTGAATCGGGGGAGCTCCCTGCTCTGGAGTGCGAGTAGCAGGAGTCTGGGCCCCTCCTCCAGCCTCAGAGATGGCTGGCGCTACAGGAAGCAAACCAGCTCGGGTGACGCTCTCCATAAGGCCCACCAATCGGACCAGAGCGTCCTGAAGAACTGGACTAGCAATAAACCCCTCCGGGACCTGAGCTGGGCCCACCGGAACTGCTGGGGCTCGGGCCGGAACCTCCTCGTCGAAGTCAACCTGAGGCTCCGCCACTGGTGCTGCTGCTTGGGGCTGAGCTCTGCCCCTACCTCGGCCTCTAGCACGGCCTCGGCCTCTGCCCCTAGCGGGAGCTGCCTGGGGCTCGGACTGCTGATCAGAAGATGAGGAAGCGCGTGTTCTCGCCATCTACGAAAGAATAGAGTAGAAATTCAATTAGCGTTGAGAAACCAAACTGCACGATAAGGAAGAACAAATGAGAAATTTTTCCTAACTCAGTAGCCTTTGGGGGATAAATACAGACGTCTCCATACCGATCCCTCAGACTCTACTAAGCTTGTCCGTGAGTTGTGAGACCTATGTAACCTAGAGCTCTGATACCAACTTGTCACGACCCGGATTTCCCACCCTCGGGAGTCGTGATGGCGCCTACT